TATAAATGTATACTGTTCGAGTGTTGTCTTTGTATTAGTGAGAGTAAATGTCATGAATAAATTTGCCATTAAACATATCCAAGTTGAAGTGTTACATTATTTTCAGTCCCCTTTTTGGCATCTGCATTTGTCAGCAGGCCAAACTGACAAAGATCATGCAGAATAATGTATTTTAATTCCACAGCAGAGAAAGCTATGTGGTCTCTGTAAGTAGGTCTTGGGGAAAAAAAAAAATCGGTATTTGTATCGGTTATCGGCCAAATAATTTTAACATATCAGATATCGGCCAAAAATCCAATATCGTGCATCTCTAATTTTACATGTATTTTTTTACTCATTCGCAAGATCAAACAATGCAATGTCAAAACTGTTTGGTTTTATTTGACTATATTGGGTAAGAAATGGTCACAAATGAAAAAAGAAGAAAGAACAGTACTCTGTATACTTATTGCTCTCCTTAAGGGCAAATAAGAGTTCTTCAAGGTAGAGAGTGACGGCAAAGCAACCGTGCTCATCCAAATCACATCGCAAACCTCCAGTTTCTGTGTGATTACACAATAGATTGGAGCTGACTGATTGTCTACCTGCAGAAACTGCTGCCAACATGGATGAATAGAGAATTGTTGAACTGGTGCGGCCTGTGTCTATTCACGGCGGCTGCCACGTCGAAGGCGAAGAGCGCTAATGGTGTGGAATAGTAATAGGCGAAGTCTCTTAGAATAGAGCTTGTGAAACCAGGAAACCTGTGCTGAACGCTACGGCTCAAGTGGACATCGTTTCTTCTTTTTATAGCACAATCCCTTAAACCATGTACTGTAAGTGTCGCCAAAGTAAAAGGAGACCACGTTAAAGTTTATCTTCTTTTGTAGAAGAAAAAAGGAAACCGTCGCTGAGGGATTTGAATAGTAAATGTCTGTCGTTTTGGAGATGAGTTTAATGTTTTTGGGTGCAAGATATTCCTGTTATGAGTTCCAAGAGGAGGACACAATTTTATCCACCACTGAGTGCAAAGGCAGAGCCATGGAGTGGCTAGTGGTGGCCTTGGCCACCATAAATTAATCTTTGGCCACCCCACTGGCCACTCCAATCATTTGAGAAAACTATACTTTCAAGCAATATAAAAACAAGAAAGCATAGTTTCCCCAAACGATAGGGGTGGCCGGTTTACTATATAAACAGGTGCTGGTCATAAAATTAGAATATCATGAAAAAGTTGATTTATTTCAGTAATTCCATTCAAAAAGTGAAACTTTTATATTATATTAATTCATTACACACAGACTGATATATTTCAGATGTTTATTTTAATGATGCTGATTATAACTGACAACTAATGAAAACCCCAAATTCAGTATCTCAGAAAATTAGAATATTGTGCAAAGGTTCAATATTGAAGACACCTGGTTCCACAGTTTAATCAGCTAATTAACTCAAAACACCTGCAAAGGCTGCAATCATCTCAGTCTAATTCTGTAGCTACCCAATCATGGGGAAGACTGCTGACTGGACAGTTGTCCAAAAGAGACCATTGACACCTTGCACAAGGAGGGCAAGACATAAAAGGTCATTGCTAAAGAGGCTGGCTGTTCATAGAGCTCTGTGTCCAAGTACATTAATAGAGAGGCGAAGGGAAGGAAACAATGTGGTAGAAAAAATTGTACAAGCAATAGCGATAACTGCACCCTGGAGAGGATGGTGAAACAAAACCCATTCCAAAATGTGGGGGAGATTCACAAAGAGTGGCAGCTGGAGTTAGTGCTTCAAGAACCACCACGCTCAGACGTATGCAAGACAAGGGATTTAGCTGTAACATTCCCTTGTGTCAAACCACTCTTGAAAAAGAGACAGCATCAGAAGTGTCTCGCCTGGAACTGCTGCTGGAAATCCAGATCCCAGAGTCTGGAGGAAGAGAGAAGCGGCACAAAATCCACGTTGCTTGAGGTCCAGTGTCAAGTTTCCACAGTCAGTGATTGTTTGGGGGGGGCATGTCATCTGCTGGTGTTGATCCACTGTGTTTTCTGAGGTCCACGGTCAACGCAGCCATCTACCAGGAAGTTTTAGAGACTTCATGCTTCCTGCTGCTGACCAACTTTATGGAGATGCAGGTTTCATTTTCCAACAGAACTTGGCACCTGCACACAGTGCCAAAGCTACCGGTACCTGGTTTAAGAATCATGGTATCCCTGTTCTTAATTGGCCAACAAACTCGCCTGACCTTAACCTCATAGAAAATCTATGAGGTAGTGTGAAGAGGAAGATGTGATACACCAGACCCAACAATTCAGAAGAGCTGAAGGTCACTGTCAGAGCAACCTGAGCTCTCAGAACACCTGAGCAGTTCCACAGACTGATTGACTCCATGCCACGTCGCATTGCTGCAGTAATCCAGGAAAAAGGAGCCCCAACTAAGTATTGAGTGCTGTACATACTTTTCATATTCATACTTTTTAGTTGGCCAACATTTCTAAAAATCCTTTTTAATTGGTCTTAATATTCTAATTTTCTGAGATACTGAATTTGGGGTTTTCATTAGTTGTCAGTTATAATCATCAACAATAAAATAAATAAACATTTGAAATTTATCAGTCTGTGTGTAATGAATGAATATAACATAAAAGTTTCACTTTTTGAATTGAATTACTGAAACAAATCAACTTTTTCATGATATTCTAATTTTACGACCAGTACCTGGATGGATGGATGGATAGATGATGGCAGCCATCTTGGATTTTGACGTGACAACCCAATTTTTGATATTGACCATTTTTACACCTAAATAAAGCCACAGCCCAAAATGGAAGTTAGAACCTCACTTTTTAGAAATAATTATCCAGCTCACAAGACAGACGGACGTTATTTCCAATCTCCCTCTCCGCTCTGCGATGAAGGACAAAAGAAACACTCGTATACCTGTAACATTCATTAGATGAAGGCGGACGGTAACCCTTAACCCTTACCCTCTGTCTTTATGTACTGAATTACTCTGTATCGTCTTTCATCTCATTCTTTGCTTTTCCATGGTCAGAAATGGCTTATTGCCCTCGAGCAGGAAATAAAACATAATATGACAAATAAAACGATACAACAAAGCCTCACAGAGTAGGCTCTGTGGACTACCGACTCCTTTAGCTGGAGATTGGCTTCAATAGAAATCTACAGGGGAAAACTTTCAACACCCAAAGGGATCCAGACAATGCTACTTACAGACGTACTGCTGGAGAGATAAACCCTTAAAATGGCAGATTTATTCACAGCTTAAGGTCGAGATGAGCTTCTTCAGGTTTACAAACACATACCTTAAAACACAGGAGTAGTAGCCCACATCGTCCAACTCGGCAGGTCGGAACCAAATAGCGTCTTCCTCTTTGCTCATCCTCGCGCCGTCGAAGCTGATGGGCTCCTCGAAATCCCCGTGCCCGGCACTTTTGTACCACATCAGGCTAAGTCCTGTGCTTTGCGCATGGCTGTAGTTGGCCCGGATAAATCCGTAGAATAAAGCGCACTTGATGCGGACGGGCTCCCCCAGAAGCACTTTGTATTTCAGGTAGTCCACGGACCAATCTGTGCAGCCTTCCACTGGGGGGAAAAGAGACGGAAAACGGAACGTTAGGCGGGAAGGTTGCAACATTCGTTCACGTTTTTGACAGTGGAAAAGTTGTTTACTCGTGACATGGCTGAGCAAACGAAGCAAGCAAATGGACATTAAGCTAATTTCTGTACAGGGATATTCACCTAAATTACTCAGGGGGCTTCAGTTACTGAAAAAGAGTTCAGGGGTCGAACATCCAGCAGTTATTCTCATTAAATAAGTTAGCTTTACAGTTTAAAATCTAGTTTTACTAAAAAACTAACCCAATGGTGGGCCGAACTGAGCTCACCTGTGGGCCTGATTTGGCCCACGGGCCTCCACTTGACGGTACAGTCAATTCAGCCACTTTCTTTTAGTGTCGTAAAATAAACTCACCAAATGTCAAATGTCACACCAATAAATCACACAATCACTATTTTTATCATAAAGTAAATAATAAGTAACTAAATTAAAACGAGCAATCAACTGTCAATCAAAAAGAGCTACTTTGAACCGTAAACAATAAACTTTGAAGTCTTTTTTCCACTCTTAAGCTTTGGCGATCAACTTTTAATGGCTAAAGCACAAAGCTAAAAATAAAATAAAAAAACAACTAAAATTAATGGCATCTTTCCATAAATGCATCCTAAAACTAATCAGTAAATAAATAAAATAAAATAAAAAACTAAAGGAATTGCAGTTCCTGCGAAAATGCAGTGTGAATGGTTATTGCACAAGAACTTGATGAAAAACAGCTGAAATTAGCTTAAAAACAAGCTGAAATGTTGCTAAAATGAAAGAACAAGACTAAATTGGCAGAAGAAAGCAGAAATAACACATTTGTTTAGTTTTAAACAAGCAGAAATTAGCCCAAAAATAAGGAAACTAGCTAAAAAAAAAAGGGCTGAAATTAGAGGGTAAAAAGAGCTAAAAAATAGCTGAAAAGGCAGAAAGAAGCTTAAATTACCAGAAGAAAGTGAAACGAGTTGAAATGAGAAAAAAAAAAGTGGAATTAGCTTAAAAAACTAAATTGAGCATAAAACAGCTAAACAGTAGCTGAAACAAACAGAAAAAAGCTGAAAGGAGCAGCAACAAGTTAATTAATCTGAAAGTAGCCAAAATTATCACAAAAACTTAAATTTATCTGAAAACAGCAGAAATTAGCTAAAATATGCTAAAAAGTTAGCTGAAAAGGCAGAACAAGCTTAAATTAGCAGAAGAAAGCAGAAAGAACACGTTTGCCCAATTAGGCTGAAAGAAGCAGAAATGAGCTCCAAAAATCTGGAATTAGTTGGAAAAAACAACTACATTTAGCAAAAAAAAAAGCTAAAAAAGTACCTGAAATAGCAAAAAAAGCTGAAAACTTCAACAAAAACAAAAGGAGCATAAGAAGCTGAAAGTTGCTGAAATAAGTTAATTAGGCTGAAAGTAGCAGAGAATACTACAAAAATAAAAACTTGAATTTATCTGAAAACAGCTCAAATTAGCTAAAAATGTAGCTGAAATGATATAACAAGCTTAAATTACCACAGGAAAGAAGAGAGAACACAGGTTTGCCCAAATGGTCTGAAAAAAAGCAGAAATGAGCACAAAATTGCCTGGAAAAGCCTGAAATTAGCAAATAAGCTAAAAAAAAAAAGGGCTGAAAGAAGCTTAAAGACAAAAGTTTAGACGAGTGCCAAAAATGAAGAATTAGCTGAAAAAGCTTAAAGTAGCATAAAAACAGCTAAATATTAGCTGAAATAACTGAAACTAGTAGAAATAAACTGAAAGGAGCATAACAAGCTGAAATTAGCAGAAATAATTTAGAACAAGTACAAAAATGTTGTTCGCAGAAAGAATCTGAAAGGAGCACAAAACAGCTGAAATTAGCTGAAAACAGCTGGTAAAAAAAACAGCTGAAATTAGCAGAAAGAACTTATAAGAAGCACAAAAATGATGTTCGCAGAAACAATCTGAAAGGAGCTGAAAACAGCTGAAACATGGCAAAAATTTGCTGAAAACAGCTGAAATTAGCTGAAAGTAGCTGATGCTTTTCTTGTTGCAGCAAATGATTTCTTATAGTAAAGCCTAAAAAACGCCTTTAAATACTATTATTTTGTCTGAATTTGTCCAGCGTTCTCAGAAAAATCATAGCAACTTTACGACACTCGTTCTTAAAGGGGACCTGAGCACATTGCAATCCAATATAAAAACAACTTTAATCCCGTTTTTATCGTATCGGTAAATAAAATGCTAATGATCAGTAAAAACAGCTAACTGGATCAAATAATGAATATATAACATGTTTTATTTATCTGATGATGTTAAAAGCAGGTTTATGGAAGGCTGGGCCTTTTGGATTTTTTTTTTTTTTTACACTCAAAACTTGAAAATAATGTGATAAATTATCACAAATTATTTATCATATGAATTATAATTAAACGTGATAAATTATTAGATTATTATCTGAATCTGGGGATGGGTAAACATAATGTAGGGCTGGTTCAAGTTATTATTTAGCTTTAAGCTAGCATTTTAGCGTCTAGCTTCCCATTGAAGTCTGGCTGGTCACACTTGGCAAACTTTTTCCAGAAGTAGTACTTTTTGTGTTGATTGTTTCAGGCTTGTCGAATAAATTAAAACTCATTAAACTGAAACAAGTTGACATTAATAGACTTAACTTATTGGTTCTGGCAGCAGACGGTTCAAACGTTGTTTAAACTCAAATTGATGATCAAAAAGTTGATCAGACTCACAAACAACAAAATCGCTTCATTATGAAAAACTTTCATAGAACTGTGATAAATTTAAAAACTCATACCATTCAACACATATTTAAGTAGCAAGAGTAAACAATTACAAACACCTAAAACCTAAATAGTTGTCATCCACATTGATGTCTAGCCAATATACTGAAAAACCTGCCTGTTTTAGGAGTAAACATAAAATAAAAGTAATTTTCTGAACTTATAACCGGTATTTTCTCAAATGTTCGCTTTTTGGAATAAGTTTTACCCAATAAAAAAATAATCCAACCACGCATACTGCCAAAAGACTGACGCACATCTGCATAGGAGCTGATCGCTTTGGCCACGGCACCAACTGAGGATGATTTACGTCGGGGATCGGATCAACACATGTACTCAGAATAAAATATTAAAAATTCAGTACCACGTCCTGCAGGGATCAAACGTGGACGTCCATGTAAAGATCCATAAGAGGACTTTAAAGACTTGGAGGTACATCGATTATGTTATTACAAATATAACTTTGGTATAGAAAGATGAAAATAACAGACAGGAAGTGCCTCATGGTGCAGCCAGAAGAAGTTAAAACAGCTTCAGTTGAACATCTGTCCATACTTTAAAAAAAAGATGTAGACAAATGGCACTTTTGAAGACATCATGAGAAAAGGTCAAACTCAGGTCAACCACAACGTTTAGAGCCAGTCACACTTTATATACATATATATATATTTATAAACTGGATTCCAAAAAAGTTGGGACACTAAACAAATTGTGAATAAAAATTGAATGCAATGATGTGGAGGTGGCAAATGTCAACATTTTATTCGTAATATAACATAGATGACAGATCAAAAGTTTAATCTGAGTAAATGTAACATTTTAAAGGAAAAATATGTTGATTCAAAATTCCACAGTGTCAACAAATCCCAAAAAAGTTGGTACAAGTAGCAATAAGTGGCTGGAAAAAGGAAATTGAGCATATAACGAACAGCTGGAAGACCAATTAACACTAATTAGGTCAATTGACAACATGACTGGGTATAAAAAGAGCTTCTCAGAGTGTCAGTGTCTCTCAGAAGCCAAGATGGTAAGAGGATCACCAATTCCACCATTGTTGCGCAGAAAGATAGTGCAGCAATACCAGAATGGTGTTACCCAGCGTAAAATAGCAAAGACTTTTAAGTTATCATCATCAATCGTGCATAACATCAAACGATTCAGAGAATCTGGAACAATCGCTGTGCGTAAGGGTCAAGGCCATAAAACTCAACTGGATGCTCGTGATCTCCGGGCCCTTAAACGTCACTGCACCTCAAACAGGAATGCCACTGTCAAGGAAATAACAGAATGGGCTCAGGAATACTTCCAGAAAGCATTGTCAGTGAACACAATCCACCGTGCCATCCGCCGTTGCCAGCTGAAACTCTACAGTGCAAAGAGGAAGCCATTTCTAAGCAAGCTCCACAAGCTCAGACGTTTGCACTGGGCCAGGGGTCATTTAAAATGGAGTGTGGCAAAATGGAAGACTGTTCTGAGGTCAGATGAGTCACGATTTGAAGTTCTTTATGGAACACTGGGACGCCATGTCATCCGGACCAGAGAGGACAAGGATAGTCCAAGTTGTTATCAACGCTCCGTTCAGAAGCCTGCATCACTGATGGTATGGGGTTGCATGAGCGCTTGTGGCATGGGCAGCTTGCATGTCTGGAAAGGCACCATTAATGCAGAGAACTATGTTCAGGTTCTAGAACAACATATGCTCCCATCTAGACGTCATCTCTTTCAGGGAAGACCCTGCATTTTTCAACACGATAATACCAGACCACATTCTGCAGCAATCACAACATCATGGCTACGTAGGAGAAGGATCCGGGTACTGAAATGGCCAGCCTGCAGTCCAGATCTTTCACCTATAGAGAACATTTGGCGCATCATAAAGAGGAAGGTGCGACAAAGAAGGCCCAAGACGATTGAACAGTTAGAGGCCTGTATTAGACATGAATGGGAGAGCATTCCTATTTCTAAACTGGAGAAACTGGTCTCCTCTGTCCCCAGACGTCTGTTGAGTGTTGGAAGAAGAAGGGGGGATGCCACACAGTGGTAAAAATGGACTTGTCCCAACTTTTTTGAGATTTGTTGACGCCATGAAATTTGGAAACAACAGATTTTTCCCTTAAAATGATACATTCTCTCAGTTTAAACTTTTGATCTGTGATTTGTGTTCTATTCTGAATAAAATATTAGATGTTGGCACCTCCACATCATTGCATTCAGTTTTT